TTTCAATTTTTTCAAGATAGTTTTAAAAAGATATCTCTTTATTTTGATTTATATTTAAATTTAAGAAGTTAGGCATATTTTCCTATTTATAGGACCTTTGTATTAGCTTTCTTATGACTTGTATCTCACAGAATTTGGGTGTTTTGTATTGTATTGTACTGCATCTTTTAGAAATTGATTTATATATGGTGTTTTTAAGTTGGAAAATTAGGTTTTTGCATCTATGTTGCACATATTTTTCCAGATATTTTATCTTTTGATTTCATTTGTGCATTTTTAATGTACAGAATTTTTTCCTTTTCTATGTAGGTTCTATGGCTATTTCTATGACATTCTTTTAAAAATTCCTTCTAGGTTTTATGTCCTGTTTGCAAGATTATAGATACATTTTCCTGTGTTTATTTTGGCATATCGCTTGCTTATCATACACGAGGCCCTGGGTTCCATTCCCAGCACTACAGAAGAGAAAATAATATTTCAGTGCATTCATAGGTTTTTTTTTTTTTGGTTTTTCTCCGGTACCGGGAACCGAACTCACGACCTTGCCAGGCAGGCGCTTTTTGCCGCTGAGCTAAATCCCCAGCCCCTCATAGGTTTTATTTGAACAACTTTTGATTCACGTGGAGGTTTTACTTTTGTGATGGCATAAAATGCAACATCATGATCCCACTTTCCCTCCTGTCACCCTCTGTTCTTCTTTCTCTCCCTCCCTTTGTCATCAGCTAGCTGCTATCTCAGTTCTGGTTACTAATCCATCCTTACCCCAGTAATGGAAAATGCCTCCTTTATTCATATTACTATCTCTGTCACTAAAAATAGACAGGATTTGATTTCTTGTTAAAGTTCAAAGTCTAAGCCTTTTTGTACTTTACCAAGCAGCTCATGTGACTCTCAGGGAAAGCATGTTTATGTTCTGATTTGAATTTTACTTATTATTTTGGGTCCTAGACCACTGGTTCATGCCATATTGTCATCATTAGTCCAGGCGTGACTTTTTAATTAACTATTAAAATAAACAACGATGGGTCCATATTCAACATGGAAAGTAGAACATTAACAAACGTGGTCTTTCTCTTCCTGGTCTCCAGTCTTCCCTGCTTGAGTTTACCATTCCACATCTTGTGTTGATCCACCTCTTCTCTTTAAGAGAAATATAATTGTCTGCCTGGTTACCTAGCTATCTGGATCTAGTTAGCCATAGCTATTTTTCCCTGAAAATAATGCTTTTCTGTAGTAGTTATTTTTAAATTTATAAAAGAGGCAAAAAGCTGTATTAATATTTGGGGGCTTATTTTTTATATTCAAAGTTATATTTCTAAGATTTATCCATTTTGTTATGGTAAATTGTTACTGCTACTGCTGAAAACAACTGACATTACCTTGTAAAGTTGGACATTCACAGACCTTTCATTCTTGGGTTTATAAACAAAAGAAACTCCTACGAATGAATGCCAGGAGATAAATACAAGAATGTTTATAGCCTCTTGTTTGTAATAGTAAAACTCTAGAAATAATCCAAATCCTTACCAATAAGAGAAAGGATAAAAGATATATTGACATTAAGGAATTATTTTATTTTGTTATTTAAGAAAAATTGTAATACAGTTATGTTTATTGAAATATATCTATATTAGAGATTACCAATGCATTAACTTCTGGTGCCAAATTTGTTCATATTTGTGTAGACTTAGAAGAAATCTCTCATTATCTTGGTTCGTATATTTGAAGCTTGTCTAACTATTTTATTAGTTAGTGAAGTTTTTTATTACATTGGTTTTTAAAGAGTTCAAGCATATATGTGTGTCCTTGAATGCAATTTTACAAGTATTTTATAATAGGCATCATGCTTTTATGATGCAATGATAGTGATTTGTACAAGTGAACACAAATGATAAGTCAAGGCATAAGCAGCAAGTGAATGTATGATGCTGTTACATGCTGACTATAGATACTTGGTACTTTTATATTTAGGAATATTGTTCAACATTACTATTCAATCTAGAATCAAACTTGTTGATATAAGGGAAACTGATAAAAAATTCTTCACTATTTGCAGTTTCTTCTCCTTGTAGATTAAGATTTTATATATACTGACAAAAAATCTACCAAATTTGTAAATAAACTGAAGTTTAGTCTAATTATTACTGCAATTTATACCTGTGTTCTGGTCATCTCCTACTTACCTTGTACTGCGCAGATGACCTAGACATCAGTTTTTTAGTCAAATGTTCTCACAGTCCTGAGAAGGACACAGTGGGCCACAGAGGTCTCAGGCTAGCCACACTGGGGAGCAGACTAGACAAGTAGGGGTGGCAGGAGGCAGGCTTTATAGTAATAAGGGAATGAGGAGATGCTCTGGTTTTTGTGAAAAGATGCAACTGGCTTGCTAGAACAATTATGTGGGCTGCCAAGGAAGTGAAACTCATTGGGTTAAGGACCAGTGGAATGCAGATGATTTGGATGGCAGAGATACTAGCGAAGTGGAAGCCTTTTTCACCCAGTATTCAGTGAGAGATGGGAAACTTAAATCTTTGGGGTCCTGTGAGGTCCAAAGATACTAAAGTAGACATGAAGTTGTAGGCCCTATACTACAGTTTATCAGTATCAGTCTTTTAGCTCTTTGAAACAACTTCCTTAAATCTATTAATTACTTTATAATGAGATAGCATTATAATTATAAAATTTTGCAGTACTCTTTTCTGAAAAAGTAATAGCTTTATTTATTATACGGTAGGTTTTTAAGTAAGATATCAGTTTGGAAAATTTTTATTTATAAAATATTTCTTCATTTTCTTCATCTGCATTATTTCTGATGAGAAGTCCGTTGTCATTTTAATGATTGCTCACGCAACTTGTCTTTTTTTCTGATTGCTTTTAAGATTTTCTTTTCATTACAGTTTTAAACAGTTTGCAAAATTTTAATATGTCTTGATTGAATTTTATGCATGCTTCCTAGAGTTCATTGAGATTCTTCAATCTCTGGATATATATAGTTTTCATCAGTTTAGAAAATGTTCAGCCATTATTTCTTCAAATATTTTTTCTGTCCCTATCTCTTGCTTCTCTTAAGATTTCAATTACAAATAAATTAGGCTACTTGGGGTTGTTTCTTTTTGTGTTTAATTTTGTACAATTCCTATTGTGTATCTTCAACTTCACTAACTTTACCTTCCTCTAATAACTAATATACTCTTATCCCATACAAGTTTTTAATCTCAGATATTGTAGTTTTTATTTGTACAAGTTTGATATGGATTTTTAAAAATGTTCTATGTGCAGTTAGCCTGCTCAATTTTTCTTCTAGCTTAATGATCATATAAAACAGTTATAATAATTGCTTTAATGTTTTTTCCCTAATCTTGTCTTATAATTTCTTGGCTTTTTTGATGGATTACTTGTGTTCTTTATGAGTAACATTTGTCTTCCTTCCTTGAGTGTCTAACAATTTTTTATTTAGTGTTAGACATTGTGATTTTTCCTTTTAGTGTGACAGCTACCTCTGTCTTTCTATAGTATATAATGTGTCTTGCTGTCCATCAGGTATTTAGGCACAACAAGAGCAGTGCTCATTCAGGAAGTTACTTTTCTTACTTCTGAGCAAAAGTCTTTTGTGTACACTGCTGGATTTGCTCTGAAAAGTGTTAGATTTTTTTATCTGGCTGATGGAAATAGGAACTATACTGTACTCTGCCCCTTGTGAGGTCAGGTGTTGTTTGTTTCTTCTAATCCCTTTGAGTGGTTCTTTCCTCTGCCTTCATTGCGCTGGTGAGTGTTTGGCTGATGCTCAAATGGGACTCTTTTTAGATCCACAGAGTTCATATTTTCTCTCTCCCTCTTGTTCTGTCTTTGCTGTTCTGTTCTGTTCTGTTCTGTTCTAGTACGCTTTAATATTTCTGAACTCCCCATTCTTATTCTTGATTCAGGAATACTATTGATTCCTTCCTAGTTCCATTTCCTATACTAAAGTCTGGAAATAATTCTTCTTCTTCTCCTTCTCCTTCTCCTTCTCCTTCTCCTTCTCCTTCTCCTTCTCCTTCTCCTTCTCCGTCTCCTTCTCCCTCTCCCTCTCCCTCTCCCT